ATATCGACGTTGTCCGACAACCAATTTTGCACCAAATGACTTGTGTGGACAGGTGCATCGTTCTGCTAGAAAACATACGGCTTTCCAGACGACACAGTTTCCATCCACGGCTTCACTATATTTGTCAGAACACGCAAATAAACTTCTTTTGTGACATTTTCCCCTTTGTTAAAGAAATACGATGGCATGACATCACCCTCACTGGATGATGTTGCAAAACCTTCGTTGGACTTCTTCGACTCATTGTACTTTGCAATGACATAATACACAGTCGATCTCGGGTACCCGAAGAACCGAATGATTTCTGTCGCCGAGCGCCTAGCGCGAACACTTTCGATAATCGCGGCTCTTCGATTATATTCCGCACTTGGTTTCAACATTGCGACTGTTTCGAGGTTATGATGGTTTAGTACATGCGTCAAGCTATTTGAACGCTAATCGCGACATCTACCAGTAGTATAGAACGGCGAGAATTTTAAATTGAATTTTATCCGGATTTTGGCGCCGCATCCTGTATTAACTATCATATATTAACTTTTTGTAATAAATAAAAATAAAAAATTATTAAACATTTTCGTAAAATAAAAATAAAAAAGTTAATACTGTGTTGATTGTTCAGTATTTGGATCATTGTAAGTATAAAGATCTTCCTTTTCGACGAACAACGTCAAAAATTGTATTTCCAGACGAGCTCTGTCGCGATATGACAGCCTTCGCATGTCTTTTCCCAACCGTGCTAAAAATCCATCTAGCGGATCAGTAATCTACGCTGTTGGTTTTTTCAATGCTTCTATTAAGGCTTCTTTTGCTCTAAAATATAATATATACTTTCATATTAGGACCTTAACTTAGTTTCCGCCCGCAAATGTTAGATGGCAATGCAAACAGTTCTAGTAGTCATTACTAACGAAACAGGTAGTTTGTGATTAATTTCGACATTTCTCGATAACATTCAGTCAGCATACACAATTATTTTCCTAAACAACAATTTCTTTTGCTTTGTGA